TTCACTCCATGTGCGTACATGGTGCCCGCGAACTAGTGAAGACTCAGCTTCGATTTTGTGATCCCGGTATAGAAGAGGAACTCAGAGACTACGAGTACTACAACGCGCTGACCTGCTCGTGTCAAATTTGCGACTCATCGCAGACGTCATGCGAAGGTTTCTGACAGGCAACTGCGGGTCAACCCCGTAAAACCGCGGCTGAGACCCCGCCGGAACAAGACGACCGTCGGACGGAGCTGTCTGAGAATGAAGTCGTCGTCGACGCCCTCAATCAGAGCGAAAATCAGCTTGAAGCAGCCCTTAGCGACCTGCAGAAAAATTGAGTGAAAGCATCATGTGGTCACCGCAGCATCGGGTCAACTCGCGCCAGAGTCCGAGCGGGAGCAAGCTCGGCTAGAAACTGTCTCACAATTAGTTTCGCTTGAGATCCAGCAGTCCGTAGCGCAGCGAAAGTCGGGTTTTCCTCTCAAAACTTCCCGGGGAACTCTTTGCGTTCCAGGATCCGCCGTAAGAGAGCCCACATTTCGATGCTGGATCTCAACACGGTCGGTCGTATTCTAATTTCTCATCTGTTTCTGCTTTTGCGCCGAGAATACCGCGAAAAAGCGGAAGGAGACTCTATCCTGCGAAGAGAGATCCCATCAGTTCTCTTCTCCTCCGCTTCAGGTGAAAGGGACTTGGTGATAGAGCACCTGCTTTGGAAATCAAATACCCAACCGTCCGGTGCGTACTTCAGCATCGTACTTCTAGCAGAACGATCCCCGTCCCTTCACACCCTGGAATGATATGATTGATCTAGTTCGACGGAAATAATACTTTTCGCTCGCCTGTGGCGCGCAACGCTACAATGCTTCACGAACATTGTATTGCATTTAATTAGAAGCGGAGGAAGAGAGCGAGGAAGGCCGGACGAACGGGCCGGCTGAATAATTTGTTTGTCAGGGGAGTCAGTTTTTGGTGATTCGTTCCGAATAGCCAACTAATGATTGTTTCCATGAGGATCGCGGTAAACTCGACGGAACAAACGACTGGATCACGCACACAGGTCGACGGCGGAGTGATCGGAGTCGAGATGGAAAGCTTATATCGCGCGCTTTCTCTGCGTCGGAAATTCGCGAGGAGAGAAGGGATATCCGACCCTGGGGCGCATGGGGTGGAGCTAGAGAGAACGATATTTTGATGGCTCGCTTCCTCAAGACTCCTCGGAGGGAGAAGAGTTATTCGTCTCGCCAGGAAATTTCCTAATCTTTCTCATAGGAGCTCCAGGAATTCCAAGGCCCCTGCAGTAGGCCTTTCCGGCTAGAACCAGGAATCGCTTTATATTTTCACTTGAGAACCTATAAACGGCCTGCTCTGCGTACGATGAAAGGTAGGCAGCAGCAGCATCCCAGCGATGATATATGTAGTCTCTCATCATCATAGAGTCCGTCGTTAATGTGATAGTGAATACCTCATATTCTTGTTTCATCGTTGATCATATCATGACCTGTCGATAAAGAGATATATTATACCCTTCAAATATATAAGAGAGACGACCTTGCGTAATACTTGCCCCGAATCAGATACTGTGAATAAATGGAGAATAAATCGAAATATAATCCAAGCCATTCCCGTTCGGGTCATCTTCTATCCTCCTGTGGAATTCCCCTCTAGCTCCGGTCAAACGATAAGATTGTCTGAAATTCAACTCGCGCCGACGATGGGATCCGAGATGCTTGAGAATGCGACGCGAACAGAGGTACCTATCTTGAATACGTTCGTCGGCAGAGGAGCTGGGATCGCCTGGGACTGACGGTAGGCGGGAGGAGGGCTCACATTGCGGACTCCGACTACGTAGCATCACTGTGACCTAAGTCGCGGAATGGTCCTGAGAATGAGTAGATTCCCGTCTTCCATGAATTCGGGACACCGTCAGGATCTCCGGGAGCCTATCTGCGTCTGCGTAGATTAGCTTCTCTTGATTGTCGAGTGATGACAGCATGTTCGAGCCTTGCGCGTTTACGGACGAGCGACCATGGAGAAGTCCAAGTTTCAGCGAAGCTCCTTCAGCACACGTGCGGGTAACTCACTGGGGATGGGCTGAATGTCAGCGCGATCGCTCAGTTTGAGGAGAGGTCGCTCGGTCCGATGCTTGTCATCGGGATTAGAGAATGCCAGGAACCTACGCTCGGAGGCGATGACATTCGCAGATCGGATTGGAAGCCGGAGGGGTCGCCGATCCGGTAACACAAGCGTCTGGCAATCAGGAAAGCATGCACCGCTTGTACCAGGCTGCGCGCGAGCAGATCGCGGCGCACGATCCAAGTGATCTTTTTTTTCGGTCAAAAGCACTTCATCACAGCCAGAACCCGGGCAAACACTTGTACATTGAGCAAATATGGAAGATGGAAAGTTTTCTCTCGTTGGTCCACTGCAGTTGTCGTCGATTTTCTCCCAATGTATAACTTGAGAACGTTCGCTCCTGTGCTTGTGTACACTTTCATCGAAGACGTCTCCGTGGTGGTCGGGAATACATTCAGGGAGGTGTTTGCAAAGCGAGATGTTGAGTGGCTACTTCGACCTTTCCGGCAATAGATTAGCATGGCGACAGATTAGATTTCAGTCAGTCTACTGTAGCTTGTCGCGAGCTCGAGTCCCTAGTTGTGTAATGCTCTGCCTCGGAAGCTCCAATGTTTCAGCCCGAAATTCGACAAAACACTCATCCTAATTGAGGTCGTGAATCTCATTCAGAATCTGTTGCACTACTTGTACTACGAGCGAGGGCGTAACGGAGCCGCGAAGTGAATGAATCCGATAGGGCAATACTCTAAATTGCCCACTGGCTTCCGAGGGTAGGGGAACGCGAGCCTCGGCTCTGAGACTGTGTCGCTGAACCCGCAGCTCAAGGGAGACCTTCTTAGCACCGACCACCATTAGTTAGTGTGCCTTCTGCGTGTGTTGACGCAGCTGATAAGCTGGTGTCAGGAGGAGACGTCGGCGATTTCACACGGTCCAGGCTTCTCGGACGGGACTACACCTTGATTTTCGCGTAGGTCTAATAAAAGCAGTTTAGCTGGCGTCGTTTCGCTTCGTTCGCTCGTTTACTTTGCTCCCTCAATGAATTCCCTCACCGCTGAAACCCTCCGTGCGCCGCCTCGGCGGGAGATCCGAAAGCTCTTGGTCGATGGGATTTCCCAGCGTCTGCCTGCACTGGAATCGCTTCTAGAAACCGGTGAAACTTTCCGAAGTCGAGACTCGAGACCCGCGGACGATCCTGTAAACGCTAGCTGATTCACGTTCTGGAGGAATTCACGGTCCGAGAGAAGAAGCTGTGGGGCTTTTACTTCAAGTTCAGCTTTATTCAGCCTCTAAACAGTGTTCCGGTCGGTTCCATACATATACTCATCCGAAGGAATGCAGACTTGTCTGATAGTTTGTGCTCGATATTATTTGGAGTTGCCTGAATTTGTTCATCGACTTTGTCCCTAGGTAACGACCGGGGGAAGAGATACTTGACGTTGAGAGTGAATATATTCGAAATGACAGAATCTACCCGGGTAGCTAACGTCCGTGGAACTAGGGGTACTCATTTCAACTGCTAAAGCTCGACGATGTGATACTTTTGTTGCTTCGCAAGCAAAAATATACTTATCCCACGAATATGTCCATTTTGTTGATCTACGGTAAACTCAATCATCCTGAAAAGCTTATCTAACTACCCTGCGGCGAACTGTTCGCTCATCATTTGAAGCTGCATCGACAGGGTTCCTGGTCTAGCAGCAGTATCATGAGTAGATGATAATACATTGGAAAATCATATGCCCGATTCGCCTGCTCTTCTCGGCTACGTCGGTCATGCTTGTGGTGCATGTGGTATGCGTAGGTATGTATGCGAGGCCCTGAGCCGTTGTTTTCAGCAAGAGACCTCGACTTAGTTGAAAGTCACCTCCCAGTGAGGAACTCGTGGCACGCGATCAAACATCGAGAATCGGAAAAGGCGTCGGGAACGATACCGGGAAATGGGGAGATTGAAAAGCGATCTGATCTTGGCTCCGGATTCTTCAATTGACTCGTCGAAAGAGTTCGAGCGAGCAAACGGCTGCGTCTCAGACTGTCGCAAAGAGTGAGGCGCACATCGAACTTCTGGGGGCATAGGTCTAGAGCTAGTTTGCAAGCGAATACACCCCTCCGTCCCCTCGTCGAAGGCTTCATTCAATGCGCCCCTCCTCCTTGGAGACAGAAGAAGTTCGGGGGATTTCGATTGCGTCAAGTCTCCGATCAGGTGTACCGATACCTAGAGCGCGAACAAGCTGCGTAAGAGAAGTCTCCTCGATCGGCGTTCCCGGCGGTAGAGCTGTGGAATCCAGAGGATGGGGGGGGGAAGCTCCAGATATCCGTTAATTGTCGGGCCAACGCTCACCGAACAAAATTCCTCCTTTCTGTGATCGACTGCGCCGCCCGCCATCATTCTATGATGTCCAGCTAACGATTCGATCAAAGCCCCCATTCAACGCGGACCGCGTTCTCGCAGCGAAAGCTCTGTGACGGACTTCGCAGCGGTCGCTGCCGCGCAGCCCTTATGGGGATTGCGTAGCTAATGTGCCTTTATCAAAGGATTTTTTTTCTCCGTATCTTGGAGCCCGCGCTCGACATACTTCAAACTTTGCGGCGACCCCGGAGCTCCGAACGAGGTTTCGACCATGGTGCGGGGTAGCCGGTTGAGTGGGCAAGTTCCAGGAACCTGTTCGCTGATCAGACCTCATCGAATACGGCCGAATTAGATCGATTCGTTTCGTCGGCTGACGATTCAATCTATTTTTGGAGACCATGTCCGCTATCAATCTACCTCACGTGGGGCTAGCTGCGCATATCATAGAATACAGGAGGATATCATCTTCCGATTTTAGTCTCTGGATCTGGACACGTTGGCTCTCGGTATCAGCTGACTCTACGGGGGGAGTACTCGGTCAGTTCTATCAACGGCCGCTCATGCGAACGTGCCGAGAGGCGATGCTTCGACTCTAGTATTTCTTGCAGTGATCGCCGCATTCACAGCGTTTGGCCGATTTGAAGACGAGTTGTCGTATACCGTCTAAGCAGCGGACGTTTACTTTGACCTGAAACCACGATTCGCATATTAGATGTTATCGGCGAACGGCGTGCGTATGCCCCACTCAGGAGCGACTGTTCACAAGACCTCAAACGAAAACCCCCCGCAACAACGAACGCTAATCGGATTACAGAGTCGTGTCCGCCCGGCTTAGGCTCCCCTCTCGTCGCTCAAGTCGGCGGTATCGCCCAGCGGGTCCGAATTGATCTGTCGCTCTCAAAGTGACTTTCTGGACGGTTGGGCAGTTCAGGGATTTGGTCTAGCTTTCCACGGAGCATGATTCCGACAGGCGGCCGCACGAATCGTTTCTTCGAAGATCGGTACTCTCCGCTAAGTCACGCAAGAGGCAAGACGCTCGCGGGAGACACTCATCCCCGTGATTTGCGGAATAGTGCTGATATGCTGCAAGATTCTATCCTTGAGCCGGAAAGCACACCGATGACGTGTCGGGAACTAGAAGTTGGTTCTGAGGCGGCGGTCTAAAAACTCGCGCGAAAGTCGAGATATTGTTGCTTTTGCCAATGTTCTTCCGGTGTCCGCAATAGAGTATCACGAAGATGGAGCAGAAGAAAATACATTAGCCCTACGAGCCCTGATGCGAGAAAGCCAAAACAGACGTCAGCTAGCGTGGCTTGATCTCTATATCTTTTTGCGGTGTTGAGCTCCTCCGGCTGTTGTCCGTGACAGCAACCAAGATGGATTCGATCAGGTTCGCCGAAGTGTTCCCGGCGTCTTCCTGTTTCCCGACCCGCTGCTTTCCGGAACGAGAGTAATCATTGTCTCTGACTCTGCATTGGGCGCAGGAATCAAATTGAGCAGACGTTCTGTTTTTCACTGCATCATCGGTTGCGGCCGATGACGATTACAACAACGCACAACGGTGAGGCGGCGACCGACATCGGGGAAATTGCCGGTCTCCACGTGCAAAAATAGCGAACCTAGCGCGATGTCGTTAGGGGATTCCACCGAGGTAAATCGGCCCGCCCGCGACGAGGAGAATCAAGGGCTCATTTTGCAACAGGGGTTTCTGATAATGTGACTGATCCTGGCCCGTACTCTATTCCGGATCGATGTCGGACTTTTCTCGCTTCTGACTCGGCGATTTTTCTCCGAAAAGACGGATCGGCGAATATGAGTCGCTGAATCTCGCGTCGCCGGGTCGATCAGCTGACCTCAGGCCGACAATTCCCGGATCGTCTGCCGTCATCAAATTAAGCGTTCCGGCTCGTGGACCTCCGAATAGACTATCGGAATAGCAGCAGCTCGTGTCCGAATAAGATTGCGCACTCGGGTCCGAGTTATGAATATCTGCAGATCTTCGCCAAAAATACGTATTCCTCCCGAGGGGGCAGGACACGGGCGAAACATCGTATCTCGGGATATATTTGATCGTGGTCGGCTCCAAGCACCAACTCGAGTGAACCTCGAGGAGTCTTGAAAATCGGAGACTACACTATCTGAGGCGGATAGATAGTCGGACGGGAAGACGGTCAAACGAATGTATAGCCCTGCGTCGAGCGACAGCATTGAAACTTGGAGGAACAGTGAAGCTGCTCATGAAGTGAATGCCGGACTAGGTGAGAGAGAGTGTACACACCTCTTCCGTTTCTACGATGCTGCAGCACTGGGCGTACGAGGTGATACTCTGGTTCCTGTTCATTTTCCGCGTGTTCTCCGGTGACGGTGTAGCGTACGAGATGCAATATCCACGGCAAGCGTTCGTCGCGATTTCAAAGCGTACGCAATTTGGAATTTCAACGACTCGTTTGTGGCCTGAAATGTGAGCGTCGATTCCGATTGAAGAGTGGGCGCTACGAAGTCGTGCGAAAAAAAAACACATACAAAACTCCAGACAACGAACTCACCAACGCGGATACAGCTATTGCCAGACGGACGCCACCATGGAACCATGGCTGAGCCTTCGGCGTTGTCGATGCTGAGCACAGCGATAACCGCGCACGTTAAAAGCGTGCGAAGCCATAACATGAACATTGTCAAAAATCCGATGGAGACGAGCGAGAAGAGATGGGGACCCTGAAAGCGAACCAAAAATGGAATATCGTCGCCTTCATCCGATCGGTGGTCCGAATCGCGAGCGGAGTTCTTATCCGCTCCCAGGAGTAGCTACACGCAGAAATCTGTCGAAATTCTACTCCTTTCTCGTCCGCCCTCCGTGTTCTCGTTCGCTGCGTGAAGGGCCCCGAGGATTTCATGATTTATTCACAAGCCAGAGTGTTTCTCAGTCTGCAACTTCCACAACGCATTAAGCGGATTCGCTCCTTCCATAAAGCAGTTTTCGCGTCTTCATGATAAGGGAGACGACGCATGACGCGGTCAGCAGCTCGAGATCGGAGAGAGAGCTTATCTGAGACACTTCATAGAGAAAACTTCCGCTACCGAGTTTATTGTCCGCATACGCTGCTCTTTGTACCCAGAGCTGAATAAATGAGCAGATAGAAAGAAAATGGGATCGTCCTGCCCTCTGGTATTCTTGATGGATGAATCGATGGTTTATTGACCTTCTTCGATTTCAGTTACAACCTCAGCATGAATCAAGACTTCGAGGGAAGCGCGACGGTCCTTCTCTTCCACGCTGTCGAGAGCGGACTTCGATAAACCGCAGAACGTCCATTGAGAGTATGCCGCGCCCGTCCGTCCGTCTGCCCGCATGCCAAGCGACCTACGGGCCCAGGCTCCGCAAGCCGGTCTCTGCGGAGCGCTTCGCCAACTTTCGGTAGCGACGACGTCAATGGCGGAGTTGACTACTTGATCGGCAACAGCCGTAACAGCGGTTGACGACAACAAAGGTCGGAAGTTTTCAAACAGACCACGAATTCTCTCGGGGATTACGCCAATTGCCTGCGAATATCGATGGAGACTTGCCTTTCGATTCCTTAAAGGTAATCTCGAGGGCAGAACTCGGAAAAAGTCGTAGCATTCTCACTCCCGTCTTCACGCCCATCGGCTCTACTGAGCATACGTTCCGGACCCGACCCACCCCTTCTCGCGAGGAGTCCCCTCCTTTCATTTTCTGCGGAACGTCGGCAGCAGATGCGCGGAGCATCTTCTACTGACATTGGCTTGACAGACCTGAATGGAAATCGAGCATTCCTTGAAACGCTCAAGAGCTCTCCGACACCTTGTCCATTCATCATTTCTGTGGGGGACGAGCACTCTCATACTATATGTACCACGCATGAATGCCGCCGACACCGTCCTTTGATGAGCAGGATACACGAAGCCATCCCCCTGTAGACCCGCCCTTGATGGTATATCAATGTCATGAGCGGATCGTATGCACCTCGGACCGTTCTGAGATTAATTACTCGCTGAAGTGAAGCGTTTTGTGAAGCGTGCTCGCGAACTCTATGCCGAGGAGCGTACGATAGTGAGCTCGTGAAGGTGAATTCCGCTCCGAGCTTCCTGGTACCGTTTCAATTCAGCACGGGACGGACAAGTTTCACCTGAAGCAGTGGCATCCCGCTTATCGAAAACGCTCGTGACGTGCCCTGCAGATTTCCTTCCCTCCTTCGAGCCTCCGCGAACAAGCTCGCGAAACAATAAAAATGGAAATTAATGCCAGAGAGCGACTCCACCATAGCGCAAAAATAATATAAGTTGGCACCGCAAACCAACAAAACGTGAACATGTCGCGGAGTACGCATGAATGGAAACGGCGGCGAGTCAGTCAGTCAGCCAGTCGGCTAGCAGGACCAGGCATCCGTTGAATCCGGGCGCCCATCAAGCGAGCATTTTTCCCATTCACAGCGCTGGAATCCCGACTGTCATCCTCACTGAATGTATGACCACAAAAGCGACTCGGCGTCCTGAGACTCTCGAAGCCTCGCGGTCGTAGCCGTCGAGCTGATACCGGTGCAGACGGCATCGCGGTGTTGTTGATCCCCGCTCGTCACTCACTCTTATCCCGCGCTCCCGATCCAATCGGATCATCTTTTTTCCTTTCTCAGGAAAAAGAGGAAAACTACTCAGGCTGGCCGCGTGAACGGAGAAACCGTGCTCGCGGCCGAGTGAACCTTGTGCTCGAGAAGGACCCGCCGACTGACGTAATTCTCATGCGTCGCAACGTGCTCTCAAGTACTGAAGGCAAGGCTCGTGTTCAATGGATACACTCAACGGAATCGGAATGTTTCCGCGCTTGATCCCAAGGATGCGGGGTACAATGTTCTGCGATGCCTCTCATACGCTGCTTGTAGCGTTTGTCTCGAGGGACTTTCAGGGTCCGCAGCATCTTGATCAGTCATATGTAACACGGCGCAGTCGACACGCTCTGCGTATCGCGCTTGGGGGAATGATCCGCAGCAGCGTGCGGTTTGCGACAATCACTCACATCGATACTCCCACCGGCTCCTCTGAGAGAATATGTCGCAACATTGGAGCTCGTAAGAGACCCCCCGCTGAAATTCATTCACTCGGATGGGGAAAGTCTCCCGTAGATAGTGTCAGCTCCCATTGATTAGGTAGATCCGCCTTTGGGCGAGGAGCGATGGCAATCGAGCCTCGAATCCAAAAGCGAGACTGTTCCTTGGGAGGGAAGAGTTGACCCGTGGACAAAGATATGAATGCGACGAGTCGATGTCCGCGTCGCTCCAATTCGAGGGAATCGGTGATCTCCCCGCGTGCAAGACCGGGTTCTCATCGTTCGACAGTGGCGATGAGCGATAGGGTGTTTGCCCCATAATCAGCGGGAGGGCTCGTTTGAGAGTGAATATCCAGTAGGCTCGGTGAACTTGAAAAGTTCATCCTTCTCGGCCCGAGATTCCGGTCCAAAGGCCAAATTTCGAATGGACCGTTGGGGAGACGCCCCCAGGCAATGGGGAAGTCGAGGACTTCGAGAAGTAGACACGAACATCTGATGACTCGAATGAAACGATAAATGGGGCCGAATCTGTGAGAGTTCCAATCATGTTTGGGTTGAACGTCAATGCGTTGGTGAATTCCCGCATCGTAGGGAAGGCCCTGGTGGCTCCGGGAGCGCGCGAGAGCCTGAGATGCTCGTCCATGGCGATCTCTTCCTCGGGATATTCTCATTGCCGAATTGAGCCCTTGAGTCGAGGCTTTCCTTTTCGAAGAGAGAAGATATACCCCTCAACGAGAGCGAGCAGACTTTCATGTGACCTCACAAAGATTCGATCGTGATTCAGCTTGGTTTCGGGACGAATGATCGAGACGTGTAGTAGATCCTTCGTCCGGACTCGAGGACGAGTAATGAGATTTGCCGTCGCGTCAGTTTTCTTGTCGAACGGTCTGTCAGGCTCGAGTCCCTCCTCCGCGAACGTGGCGGTGGCTGCGGAGGGAATCTCATCGGAGCAGTTACAAATGTGATTCGTATATTCAGTGCACCTTACACTACGAAGATCTGTCGCTTGAATTTTCGACCTTTTCAAACTTCGAACGCTAAGCAGGATTGACTCGCGCGGGAGAAAATTATCGACACGTGCTTTTTCGCACAGCCCGACTGGAAGATTCCGAGGAGAACGTACTCAAAACTTCAGTTGTCAATTCCTCGTTTAGAATCTTGATCGAGAATTATCGAAGCGAATTGGCAGCTGTGGTCTATTTGAAGACTCCGCTTGGATCAGGAAACGCTCTCTAGGTAAGTGGCTCTGCGTTCCCTCATTCCATCGTAAGCGTGTGTGTCCCCGTTCGTGATTGAGAATGCAATCGGGCGAGACGACTTCGAAAAGCAATTTTTCCCAGATTGTTGAGAGTAACGTGTACGACGTACAGCCAGAGCCGAGATGAGGACACGAGCCTTGACTGTGACTCGTAGAAAACGCCTCCCCGGAGGTCGGTAGTCTCCCTCGTTGAGTCAACGAGGTCAACGATTCTCGGAAAGTACTAGATGGACAGTCTGCGAAGCATGCATTCGGGTCGTCCTTAATTCTCCGCTGTTCTACCAGCGGCTACGAACGAACAAGGCTTGAGAGAAGCAATTGTCGTTGGCTCTTGAATGTTTTACCAGGGTCGGGCTCTTGGAGCCCGACGTCTCATTTCATCATTGCCCCCAACGAAGTCTCATCCCCTCGAGTTATCAAGAGACGACTCTCGCGGACTACGGTGCGCTGGGACGGGGGGAGGGATCTTAAGCAGCTTGTCAGCTGCAAAATGAGGACAAATCGCGAGTCATCCCATCAATTCTTCAAGTCATCATTCGAACAGCGTTCCTAAGTTTCTACGAGCAAGATCCGTCTTCAACGGATTGTTGCGGGAGCGAACGAGTTTAAGTCTGCGTAGCGTTCGCTGCCCCGCGCTTCTGAGTAACTTTAGGCCCTCGGGGAACATGTCCAGATCCGAAGCAAGTATGGATTTCGTCCCAAATGCAGAGTCGTCCTCGACCGTGAGTTACGGGGGAAGTTCAACTCCGACTCAATAAAATGAAACTCTTTGTGCGAGCGCGGCATCCGGCTGGTCTCGAGGGGGGAAGTTCGAACTAGCTAGACGGATTCGATGAATAAACAAGCCAATTCTGACACAAACATGTGGAAGAGAGAAGATGCAGAAGAAATGTAGACTTTCGATAGTCACGGTGACTCAAAGGAGAGTGTGATCAAGAGAATATTTTATTCATCGACTGCCCCAAATTCAGTTAGTGGATCGGCTGATAGCTATTCCGTGCCACCAGTGCGGTAAGCTTTCACTTTGCTTTGAGTTTCGCTGGCGCTCCGCGAGAGATGCCGCTCCTTGGGGGAATCGCGTTCGGGTTCTCTTCCGCTTTTTCAAGTGATGCTGCCGTCGCCTTACCTCGACCACCTTTGAAGAAACCGGTCCTTACGAGACGGGTCCACTCTTTGGAGTGAACGGAGCAGGCGGGTCGAAATAAGCCGCTTAGTGGTTTCCGATCAATGCATTTTGGGCGCGGAGCATGTAAGAAAACCGGTGGACGAGGGGACTAAGCGATGGAGCGGGCGAGTAGTCGGCCTTTCAGTGTGACGGCCATGGAGCAAACCGCTCACTGACGCCTAGATCGAACT